AACTGTCAATTTAGTAATTAGGAATGTAATTTTCTACTGAAACAAAATTATGTGAAATGAAAAATATTTAAACACAGTATATAATTGCAAAAGTTGTCAATTAATTGAATAATCTATAACATATATGGTGTGTATTCATCATTTTTATTCACTAAAACTTCAGGCTAAGAATTGCTATTTCGTTTCTGTGTATGTTATCCATTTTTTTATCCTTTTGTTGATTAAAGCTGCAAAACCTTGAGCAATTATTTCCATATCATAAATCTTTTTGGTCACATCATTTCTTTTATTTCTAAGTAAATTAACATGCTTTCTTTTTATCTTATAAAAAAAACTACACAATTGGTAGAAATCAATGTCACTTAGTCAATACTTTAAATGATAACCATTAAAAAACTAAGACCTAGTGGCCAGAATTTTTGATTGACATGGTAAATCAAATTCGACTGACAATCTTACTATATTGTTGTTGTCAATTGTCAGTGACCATATTGATTTCTTTATCATTTTTGTTGTGTAATCTTTGTAAATGAAACACCAGATTAATCTCAAGTTAATTTGAAAAAACAGTTATTAAAGAACACCATTGACATCATGCATATTTTATTGGTATTATCACTAAGAAATTTTTTAGAAAAATTCTTGATGTGTCTTAACTCTTTATATATAAAACATTGTATACCATTCATGTCTTACCTCCACACAACTTTTTGTTATTGAAAAATGATTTAGAATGATTTTGTTATTGAAAAATGATTTAAATGATTACATTATTTTACTTGAGACTTGCTGGCACTTATATGGTTCTTTATTTTAGTGGATTCCCATACAGCAGCAATAAAAGGGGAAGATTCCACAATTGATTGCTTGACACGTCTGCTCAATTCTGAATAATTTTTAATGCACCTTTGAAAGCATTTTCCTGAAATAGTTTGTTGAGTTTAAAAAATTGCTTTTAACTGAACTTAATTACCTCTAATATTTACAAATATTTGCATGACATTTATATACATACACTAATTGATCATTTACATGCATGATATAATAATACAATAAACTGCATGGGATTTTAATCCGGCTTGGCATAGCAATTGATAATGCTATACCATATCAGCTTTGTTGCTATACCATATCAAATTGTTATTTGCATTAATAACAAAATTTACACCAGTGTTTATCAGATGCTACTTTGAAGTCATTAATTGTTTTTGCTGACACTACTTCTTCAGGTAAGCTGTTGCATCTTGAAATTATTTGAAACGGTAACGGAAACAAGAAATATGTTAAAATTATAAGTAGAAAAATAACAATAAGAGGAAAAATTCAGACAAAACGAAACTTGTTAAATGGAAAGAAATTCTAAAAAATACCAAGCAGAAAGGAAATAGATTTATTCTCTAAATTTCTATAAATTCTTCGAAATTTTGATATAAGTTTATCTTAATTCAATTTCTGTAAACTTCATTATCACTTTATTATGCTTTTTATACTCATATTGGGAAATATACTAACACTTCAAGAAGTTTGGAACTAAGAAATTTCATATTTACTTAATAACATTAAATTGGATCCAATCAGTATCAGTAGCCGTTGCACCTTTTATTGGATGATCCTCAGGAAAGTCGGATCTCAGATGCCAATAGTGGATTTTAACCTGTTTTAACAAGAAAAAAAGAAAAGTGATGTCACTTTTTTAACATGACAATTAGAGTTTACACGGTTTTCAATACCGGTATTAAAAACCAGTATTCAACTAAATTTTTCCAATACCGAAACCATTTCCCAATACCAGTTTTTACGGTTTTAATAATTTGAACTTAAAAAAACTTAATACACTTTTTGTGTTTGAATTTTGTAAAAGAATGACAAAAAATAGAAGCTATTTTGCTATGCTGTTTGCATAAACCACAATTTAGTAACTAATTATCAAAAAAAAATTATTAATTAGTTACTTTTTGATATTATAATTACTGAAATACTATCCTTAAACAATTTGTATAATTATTTTTAGAAAAGTATTAATGATTGCAACATTACAATTTCCTTGGGACAATGAAGGTATATAATAGCTGTAGCGTTAACTTGAAGTTTTTAAGTTAACTCTACAGCTAATAATAAGTTAACTCTACAGCTAATTTAAGTTAACTCTACAGCTAATAGCTGTAGCGTTAACTTGAAGTTTTTAAGTTAACTCTACAGCTATTATATACCTTTTTACAATAAAAAATCATGCCAAAACAATGCTTTTTAGTCTGGAAGTATTTCACAAAATCATAAGATTCAGCTAGTGAAGCAAAATGTACCCTGTGTAATTCTTACATAAAATGCAAAGGTTCGAGCACATCTGGTCTGATTACCCACATGAAAACTATCCATAGTGTAATTATAAAAAATAAAAAGCTAGATGAAAAATCTGTTGCAGAAGTTCCAAAAAAACAAATAAAAGTTGACAGATTCTTTAAACATGAAATCTTGGCTGAATTGCTAGCTAAATGTGCAGCATAGGATGGCATATCCTTAATAACAAATATAAAATCTGATGCAATATGTGAGTTTATTCAGAAACGTGGTTTCCAAAGGCCAAAAAATCAAACAGTCACAAAACTAATAATGTCGTTTTACAAGATAAAAAAACTAGAGCTGTGTGATGAAATTTCTGCTTTGAAAAAATGCGGTGAAAAGTTCAGCATAACAGTTGATGAATGGATTGACACCTCCATTAAAAGGTATATAAATGTAACTCTTCGCAATAAAGTTGTTCATATATTGGGTCTTGTTAAAACTAATGGTTCCTGTGATGCTTTTACAAACAAAGAATTAGTGAAACAAAAATTGACAGACTTTGGGTTATATTTTTCATACATAATTGCATCTACTCACGATGGTGCTGCAGTAATGCAAAAATATGGAGGGATGATTCCTGTAGAGTCAACTGCGCTACAATCACTATAGTTATCTGGTCGTAACTGATGTTTTCTACAAAAATTTACGAACCAGCAACGACCAAACATCTTCGAGTGACGAATTAAATGAAGAAGATGCCGATGAATATGATAATGCAAACGATTCCAAAGAACTTCTTTTTAATCTTACTTCAGTAAAAGATAATAGTCCAGATTCTGATTATGATGACAATTATTATCTTAAGAGATTGAATGGCAGAAATATTTTTTTTTTTTTTTTTTTTTTTTTTTTTTTTTTTTTTAATTCACCTCCTCAAGGCCGAGAAGGCCACTACAGACGAGGATGCTACTTATTTGTGGCTATAACCCTCTCTCAACTCTATAACTCCGAAACACAAACCTTGATGAACAAGGCCGCTGCGCGGAGAAACGAGTTGAGCGCGGTACTACCAGGGACGTGGCGAGGCTCGAACTCCGAACCACTCGTTTATGAAGCGAGCGCTCTACCACTACACCACTACCGCATTTTTAATAATATCATAGAGAAAACTGTTCATGGATGTAGCAACAGAACATTTTCAGATGATATCAAGTCTGTATTCAACAATTCAGTTAAACTGATTAAGCTTTTTAAATTGTCAAACGTTCGTAATTCCCTATTGCAAAAGCATGCTTTTGAACAAGAAAATAAAAAAACTGATGCTAAAACTTGACAATAAAACTCAGTGGAACTCTTTGGTTCCCATAATTGAAAGGTTGATAAAATTGAAACCATGCATTCAAAAAACAGTTTTTTTTAAATATAGTTAAACAAAATTTTACCAAAGCATTGGATAGTGTCGAATCATCGGATGAAGATGTTGCTGAAGAAGCTAATAATAACAATTACTTATATGTCTTGTTGAAAAAGTGTTTAATAAGCACTTAACGTAAAATCTTATTGAAAAAATTATGAATAATTTGTTAACTTTGGCTATTAAAACTTAAAAAAGTGTTTTTAAGAAATATACTGTCCCACCGCAAAATTACAATTTATTTTAATATTTTTTGTAAAGTTTTTTTTTTTTTCATTAATGAGTTTTACCTGATCAATGTTCTGCTGGATGTAAATCAACAGACTCGGGTTGAAACTTTGTCCATTTAATTGTAACAATTTGCCCGCCTGCTGAGAAGACTCTTTCAGAGCTTGTAGAGGAAATGGGTTTGAACAACTAATGTAAAAGAATTATATCCTTCTTATTTTTCCACCATTCTAATGCATTGCACAATTTGTCTGTTTTTAATCTATTGATAGACATATGACATGTCCCATTTTGTCTCAATATCGCTCTTGCCCTCCAAATTTAATGAAAGTTTTTTATTAAATTTGGTACAGTAAAAGAATTAGAGGTTTTTTGATAAAATCTTGTTTTGTCTCATATGAAGCAAGATTAGATTTTTTATTTATTGTTATGAGATGACAATGGTAAATTAAAAAGTAAGAAAATATCTTTCAAAATCATAAATTGCCGCATTTTGTTTCATCAAGCTCGCTAAAATTTACCATTTAAATTTGAGATGCAACAGCTTATATCAGGTAACAAATTCCATGATTTGACAATGCGATTGGTAAAAAACTGATAATAATTGCTCATAGCTGCACATAAATCATTATTTTGTTTCGATGTACAGCTTTGTTTTTGTTATTTTTTGAGTTACCTCAGGTTTGCATATACACATTAAAGATAGATAAGTTTTTTAAGAGCTTTATGCCAGTTCACTATATCGAAACCTTTTTGAAACTAAAAGAATTGAAGTAAATTGCCTCTTTTCCTCCACTTTGTTAATGTCATTATTTCCATCGCCTGTAATCTATTTTAGAATAGGCGCTTCTTCAATGGACCAGATGTTATTGTTGCTTTTTTTTTTGAACTCGTAAATATATATCATATAGACTTATTGATCATTTACAAAAATAATTTCACATAACTTATTGTAAATTAACACCTAATTTCTTAAACTTCCTTTTTTAAAAATGTTGTTTAATACAAATTATAATTTACACAAATCAATATCTTAAATTTTATAACTTACTAATATAAAATAAAATTAACATACCATATGGTCAACTGATTGTTCTGCTTTTAAACGCTTCCTCATTTCAGAATCTAATTGATTCCTAAAACAATCATTTGTAAACAAATCTAACTATAACTATCTTTAATGTGAATACTAAATAAATAAAATATTTAACAAAAAACAAACTTCCATTTTTCAACATTAGCTTATTCATAAAATGCAAAATCTATTTAAATTGGTGAGAAAAAACAATCACAAAACCTAATAATTTACATATTTCATCACAAAACAATCATTTAGCTTCAAACAATGTGCACAATAATAAATTGTAACATTTTGTATGATATAATCATACAAAATCTTACAAAAACCTAACGACTTTTTGGCTTTCATTCAATAATTTTGTATGCTATAGAAGGTGATTAATTTTTCTAAAAATTTCTTAACTTAATAACTTCATAGATGATTAAAATTTGTGATTAAAGAAATATTTTTTAAATCTTAAAGGGATCCCAAACTCCCAACTTATGTTGTGGTCATATTAAAGATAATGTTAAAAAAAAAGGTTTGAACCAAGTTTTTTTGATTAAAAATAAATAATGAATGCATACCGAGTAAAACTAATGTTGTTGTTTTAGCCGAAGCTCACCTTCATTTTATTAAAAAACTTGGAGTCTTTAAATTATAGGTCACAATCTACAGACTTTGGTGATTCCTTTGAAGCGCGTTTAATTCATAAAAGTTTTAGTATTTGATGTCAAGGTAGAAAAATTTTTATTTATTTTTATTCATAAATTTTTTCATTATTTGTTTAGTTATTTATTTTTTACTTAACATTTAAAAAGATATTAAAAACCTTAAATATTTTATGCTGGTTTTGTTGCTATAAATTGTTATTGCGCTTTATTTAATGTTAATAAATGATATTTATTATCTCAATCAAGAGTGATAAAAAATTGTTTTATATTAAATACCCGTAAAAAAATAATAACAGCATTTTTATTTGGTTAGACGATATTTCGTCTGAATTTGCTTTGCATGAGGTTTGGGAAGTCAAACGAAAAAAATTAGTTTTAATAATCATGTTGAAATATTAAAAACAAATTATTTTAATGACGGGGGTTCTAAAGTTTTTTATAATAAATGTAGGTAAAAAATATATAACTAAATAAAAAGTTCAACATTAAACATCTTTTTTTTATTATATTGCAACTGTAAATAATGAAATATTAACTTGAACTAAATTTAATTATTATTTAGAACTACTAAGCAATAAAAATAAAAAGCCCCTAAAATTATGCGATATTGTGTTGTTTATTTGATTATTATTGTTGATAATGTTGTTTATGTTGATTATTTTCATCAATATCAAAATAGTCCCAGATTTAACTGTTAGTTGCTTTGCTCATTGTTGAGTTATTTCTAATTTAATTTTATTTCAAAGTTTAATTCTATGTTAAGAAAGAAAAGTTTTTACTTCATTGCACGCTCTTTTTATAAAAGAGTAGAACAAAAGAGCGAGAAAAGTTTCGCATTATTAAACTTCGAATAAAAGTTGTATAGGATTTTTTTTTGTGTGTGTCACACATTCTTTTTTTAGATAAGAGAAATAAAAGATTAATTGTAACTTTTCTTTGAATAAATCAGAATTGGAAGAGAAAATTGCTTGAATTTGTCAATTTTGTTAGTTTTTTAATTTTCCATTTTAAGAAACAAATGCCAATTACGACACATAAATTGGGAAAACCAAATATAATATGTTTTTTAATGCGAGTTATGACATTTTGACAATTTAAATTACCATCTA